AATAGCAATCTCGAATAACTCTAAAAATTTTGCCACTAGTGCTGGTGATTCTTCTGTACGTTTATATAATACAAGAACAGCAGAATTATTATTTAGATTATCTGGTATGATCAAATTTTGATTACATGTTTATTTGATAAAAGTTTTAAATAATTGATTATTTAGGACATAAAAATCCATGTGATTGCCTAAAATTTTCAACAGATAGTAGATTTTTGGCTAGTGGTGGATGGGATCACAAAACTATTTTATGGAATGTGTTGGTAAGATAAACTATGAAAATCTAATTTCTCATATTTAAAGACGTTTTATCTTTTATTAGACTGGAGAAATACTACAATGTTTTCAAGATCATTCAAGTTCAGTGGAATCTATTGCGTTTCATCCAGTTTTAAATCTAATGGTACAATCAGAAATTAAAATTAGCATTTGAAACAAGATGATCGTTTCATTTTATTTTAAGGCAACTGGATCACATGATCACACGGTATTTATTTACAATCTACAACAACCAATTGAAAAACCACTTCGACTACGCGGACATTTCTCTAACGTAAGAGCGTTAGCATTTTCAACAGAAGGTTACCTGGTGCGTACTTATAGCACTTTTTATGATTTTTACATTAATTTTCTTAGAAAATATTAACCGCGAAGAAGAGTTTAGTCTGTTCTCAAAACGTAAACATATGTATATATTCTGTTGATGCTAGTAGGCGTGTCATGAAGTTTATTATACATTTTCAGGCTTCTGCCAGCTGGGATCGAATGATTATTATTTGGAAATATGATACTGGTCATTTAAAAATGCGTCTACTAGGTCATATGGGTTGGATTCAAGACATAGCTTTCGCTATCGATGGTATTATGTTAGCATCTATAGCAGATGATGATACTATTAGATTGTGGAACGTAACAACAGGATCATGTTTAGCCGTTCTATATCAGGTATGATAACAGATCTCAGTTTAATCACATGTACGCACCTAGAGTTCGAAAAAGATATTTGCAATACAATTTTGTTTTTATTTACCTAATACGACCAAAAACAATTTTACTTTTGTAATTAATTATCGTATTAAAAAAAAATCGCTGTTCACAGAACACCCGAATATTATCGTTATAATTCATTTATGCGACAATTTTTTTAATTTTAGACGCTAACAGATTTATCATGTTATGTTCGCTTTCTTCCATGTGGTAAACTTTTAGCTGGTGGCGCCGTGTATCAATTACATGCGCTACAATCTTTACCCAAATCCCAAAAATGGACCACGATTAATAAAGTACGCGACATTATCATGGAAGATGGTACGAATAAACTGGCGAAAATTAGGTTTCCTCCATCAATCGAACGTAAAAGAAGTGCAATCGTTAATCTTCCAAAAGTAAAACAACGTGCTCAAACCCATCATTCACTAA